TAAATCGTCGCGCGCGAGCACGCTGACGTTATCGATGGCGCGAAGATATTTGTGAAATATGTCGGCAAGACTGCCGCGCCGAGCGCACGATAATATCCTGTATCTTCGGTCGCGATGGTGAAAAATGCGATGAATTATGCGAGCCGGACGCGCAAAACGGCCGCCGCGCGTGCGCGTGCGCGTGCGCGCGCGATGACCGCGCGATAAGCAGATGGAATAATTGATGAAACTGCTGAACTTCATCTCCCCGCGCGGCGCGGGCGCGTAGGCGAGTCGATAATTCGCGCGTCAAGTCGCGGAAATACATATTTAACCGGCCCAGTTGCGGGAACTTTGAGCCCGCGACTTTTGCTTTACGCGCGTTCGAATGCTTATTTATGCTCCACGGCAGTTTCAGTAGCGAAGCCCCGCGAAGAAAGATTTCTTCGAGCGCTCCTTGGGAAAAAGTCATGTAGCGCACGAGGGAGGACATTAATTATCCGGGAAATTTATAATACGCCAAGGAGAAATTCCGTGGTGTGTGTATGTGTGTGCGCGCGCGCGCGTTCGTGATAAAGCGACGGGAGTTCTTCCTTCGTGTGAATATCGAAGGTCGGAGGAGACGGCGACGTGGATTAGAGTGCACGACCGGAATTTCGCGGCGAAATCCATTCCTGCGCCGGAACTATGACCGACCCAGGAGGGCTTTCAGCCAGGACGAATGAATACCCGGAGGGGGGATTACTTCCGTCTCATTAACGTGGCTCGCGATTCCGCGCGCGGCGGAATCGAGAAATTCGTCACGCCTGTACCCTGGCGAAAATCCTAATTCATTCAGCTCTCGACGATGAAAATGGCGATTGTGCCGTGACGGTTAATCAGGGAACGATGTAATGCGGTTTATTTCGCGTCTCCGCGGTAAACGATAATCGCTGTATCTCGTTTTCGCGACTCTGGCGAGAATTCTTCCGCGCGTAAGAGGGCTGATGAACGTCGCGTTGTCGAAAGAGGGGTGCCTCATTATTACCACATCAGGCCCCGAGATGAATTTTTTAGGGATGTCTTAGATTTAATAAATAAGGCTTTAATAGGGAAAGCTGAGAAGGGCTTTAGAAGGATTTATTAGGAATATCTTAGATAACGCTCTAACACGGAAAACTAATATGGGCCTTAGAAGGATCTTTTAAGAGGATATACAAAATCAAGTTTTGTTATAAAAAGTTAATAAGATCTGAAGCGTGTAATAAAATTGTCATAGTTTGGTATCGTTTTAGTATGTACGCTCTATCTGATTCTTTTAAAGATTTTTTAATTATACCGCAACTAAAAACAAATTTTATTAGATTTATTAGTCGCCATATTCATTAGTGTCTTTCAAGGATTTTTCTAGTATTGCCTTCGTTTTGAGATGCAGCAAACTTCAATAAAAATAGTAGCAGAATTTTTATGTGTAAAGAATCCTATATTTTATTGTAAAATATGCTATATTTTTAAAATAAAAAATTCTTGTTGTATACTAACAAGATTATAAAGAAATAAAGAAATTACAGTCTAAATTTGTCGGAATAAAAGGAACGAATATTTTTACCCAAGCGATAATAAAAATATTTTCTTAATAAGGCCTTATTAATGTTGCCTTATAAAGCTCTATCGATATTACCCTATAAGGCCCTTATAAGGGCCTGCTAAACCATTTGTTACACATCTAGGTAGGGCCCCTTGTCTTTCTATCCCTATTAGGGCCCGGTTAATGTTAGAGAAAAATAATCAGGCCCTTACCAGAGCTCTATTAATTTTTCTACTCGGAGTGTTCGCTCTAATCGATCGAGACACTCGCTCTCTCATAGCCCGCTCTAAACTCGAGTGAAATTCGCCCTTGCGCTTTCGGACGAGGAAGACATTAGCACCCCTTTTCCCCGGAGGAATTTAGACAGCACATATTCAAGCAGCGAAAGAGCAATAAGAATGCTCAGAGTCCAGGCACGTGTTTCCGCATTGGACTTTCACAATTGACCGAAACCACCCCGAGTGAAACGTTCGCTCTTGCTGTTTCGCGAATGACAGTCTCCTCTTCAGCGTCCAGCCTCGCGGCGAAAATGCCGATCGAAAATAACTCCCCTCCGAGAAGTTCAGAAAACGCCGCTCGCTCTCCGACACAAAGGACACTCCCTCATAATTCGGAGGCGCGTGTCATCTTGGCATGATCGAAGGCGTCGCTATTAATCCGGGACGCTTCGTGGCGCACTGTGCAACGGTAATGTAATCGTCTAATACGCGCCCCCTCCCCCGGATGACGCGATGATTTCCACTGTCATGCTAATCCGCGCAGGCCGTAATTGCGCGTTTATGCGCGCCCGAGAGCTGGATTGACCTGGAGCATTATGCGTCCAGGATACGTCCCGGTCTGTCACAGGGGCCAGGAATTATTTGCTCGTGGAAGAATAGGAGAGCGCGCGCGGGCGCGTATGATGGATGGCGCCAGCGTGTTGTCACGTTGAGGGAGCAGCCCCGGAGTCTCGCCGTGCCTAGAGATTGAAATCCGCGCGCGCGCGAGAGAGAGAGAGAGAGAGAGTCGCCGCGGCCGCTTTTCCCTTTCATCCCGCCCCGCAAAGCGCGCGCGCGCGGCGAGAGTCGCCGGAGTCATTATGATTCAGCTGAAATCTTAATGGAGTATCGCGGAACCGCGGCGCGAGCGAGCGAGCCCGCTTTGCGGGGATGTATATTACGGCTTCGCATTACGTCCAATAAAAGGGGGAGATTCCGCCTGCATTTTTTATCCCGGAAACGAATCGTACCGGAGACTCTCGATGCTGCGTCACGCGCGCTCGCCGGCGATACGTACCGAATACACGTCCCCATTATGGCGCGACTCCACTTCCGATCTATCCATTTGCGGAAGCTTCTATATCCTCGCGGCTCACGCGGTGTATTTTAGGTATCAGCGACGAGGAATCGTGTTCCCTCCCCCCTCCCCATCCCCACCCGATGTTCTTCCCCGCCGCACCGTTTTACAAACGTGAGATTCGCGTTTCTCGCGCTTTTCCCTTCCCCTCTTTGTTTTCCTCCTCCTCCTCCTCCTCCTCCTCCTCTTCCCTCAATCGGCCGTTACCGTCGGCGGTCGTTGGTGGTGGTTGCGCGATGAATTGATTTACTCGTCTCGCGACGATGATGACGACGGCGGCGGCGACGGCGACGACTACGGTGATAAATACCTCTCACGCGCAAGTGTCCACTACGTTGAGTACGGAGTTGGCCGGAGCTAGCTGGTTTCCAGGTGCTACGCGGATGAAGGTGGTGCAGGATGGGCTAGACGGGCCCGAGATATGGTGTATACCTTCGGAGCGATACGTCATCCTTGACAAGCCGGCGTGCCGATAACCCCCGTCTACGACAAACCCCGTGTGTGGCCTCACACCTCATCGCCGCAAGGGCCATCCATCATGTTTGAGTAATGTAGGGGAACGATTCCGCGTTATTGCGAATGACCGAGTCTGTCGCGCACGTCCTTTTACCGTTCTGTCTTCTCACGGATTATCTCCGAAAGATTTGTTCGGCTAACGCGACGAGCCGCCGCCGCCTGCACGATGTCTCTCAATTACGCCGCCTCTCGATTTCGCGGGCGCAATGCACTCGTCTAGATCACCTGCTCGGACAATTTCTCCCTCTCTCTCTCTCTCTCTCTCTCTCTCTCTCTCTCGCTCTCTCTCTCCTTCTCCAGTAATCATGGATGAAAAATTCTGTCCCAACAGACACGAATGTTCGATCTCAGTGTGTTAAAAATTGTGTCAGGGGACAAAAATATTGCCGCTCGACGAATGATCTTTTCCCTCGCGGAATTCAGTTTCACTTTAAATGATCTCCGGTCTCAATCAGTGACAGCTGGCGCCAATTGTGGTGACAATTGTGCCCGTTTCCTTAAGAGGGGAATTACATGCGGAAGGCCATTTTCAAAATTATTTTTATGAATTTTTTTAACAGAGACGATAAGATCAGTGGACTTGAAATTTTCACAGTGTATTCATTAATATTCAAAGTATAAAATAAATTTTATTGAATTACAAGAATCGATCCAATTTGGAATTATAGATAAAAATGCAGTGCACCCGTTTGCGAGCTCTACGTTTGCTGTCGACATAATTCCAGGCCTCTCACTACTCTGAAACCAAAAACTGAAAAAGATTTTTAAAATATATGGTTATAGCTCGTACTAAAATGAAGGCAGTGAAGCCAAGTTTAGAAAAATAATGACTGTACAAAGAAAAGTATCGAAAATGAAACTTTTTTCAACTTGTAATCGTGTTTAAAAAAATGAATAAAATAAAATATAACTGTGTTCGAGGTAGGAGTGAAAACTACATACACATCTACTGTATATTGTGTAAAAATTTCAAATTTTTCGGTTCGGTAGTTTTTGCGTAATCGTTGCGTAATCAACAGTTTAAGAAAATGGTGTTTCCAGATAAACGCGTTTAAAGAGTTTTACGTGTAGATGGTAACAAATTTATTTTATACTTTGAACATTAATGAATACACTGTGGAAATTTCAAGTCCATTGATTCTACCGTTTCTGTTAAAAAACAATTCGTAGAAATATCCTTGAAAACGGCCTGCTCCGCGTGTAATTGCCTCCTCTTGAGAAATCAGTCTATATTTATCTTACATAAAAATGTATGTTGTACTCTAAAACTCATTGGGAGCCGTGAATGGCGATTTTCCGAAAATTGTTCGAAAATTGAAAGCCGTGAATAAATGCTGGAACATGATCAAACAGTCACCTGCCGACATTTTGGAAATTGATGACAAATGTCAGACGGCTATTGGTCTTGGACCAATTTATTCGGTTATCCTTAAGCTTGTTCCATTTTATTCACGCCACTAATCGGAACCCCCCGGCCATCTTAAATTTGTAGACTTCGTTTGTCCACACGATCGAAAGATAATTCATAATTTTCATAATTTTGCCAAACGCTCGACATTGTCCGCACTTTAATCGCGAATCCACGAAAAGCGACGTTACTCACCGTTATGGACGAGCAGTGCGGAGTCGCGAGCAACGGTGATAAGGTCACTGTCGGTGAGGGTCTCGTCAGACGCGTTACCCGAAGTAGGTGTGTCGCTGAGACCGGCGCCACTGCCGGGCATATGATACAAGGGATGTTGTTGTTGTTGCTGCTGTTGCTGCTGCTGCTGCTGCTGCTGCTGCTGCTGCTGCTGCTGCTGCTGTTGTTGGTAGGAACGCTGCTTATGCTGGCTGGCGTTGTAATGATTGTGATGCGACTGGTTGCTCTGGTGGTTGTTTTGCGGGTAGGCGCGACTACGCAAACTGGAGGTGTTATCCTCACCCTCGCTGCCGCTCAGACTGTAGGCCGGATAAAGCCGTCCCTTGCCTGAAACGAAGATCGTAACGACCGCGATCACTCGTCTTTTTCTTGCTGCGGCGACCTCGGTGTAACTTTCGCTACGCAGTACGGACGGACGGCGACAACAATGAGCCGACCTCCCCCGAGTCGTCGACTCATTGAAACGCAGCGCGGCCAGTCAACGGGAACTCGCAGGCGCGCTGTTGACACGCTCCTATTAATTAATCTCATGAAAACGTCGATGAAAGTCGACTCGGAGGAGGACTCGTTGGGAATAAAAAGGTGCAAGTCGCCCAGAGGCGGATCCGGTCTTCTCCAGCGCACGACGGGGTGCAGCAGACACTAATACGGACAGCGTGACGGGTGGGAGGAGGGGAGTCGCAGAGTAAAGCGTTGTTGAATCTCCGAGTCCATCCTATTGTGACGCGAGATCGGAGGACGGACGGCTCGCAAGCTGTCGCAACATCGGAAAGAGATCGCGACGCAACGGCTGACTTAGCAAGGACACAAGAACGTGCAACGCATTAGGAGATCCCCTGGCTCCCACGGAGGCGCACGGGAGCGGGGGGGGGAGGGGGGCTTGGAAAAACAATCCGTAACCGTCACGCGCACTTGCACAAATAGCGTGGGGACGCGAGACTTCCGCATCCTTCGGGCCGCACTCTCCTCGCTCCGTTCGACCGCGGGAATACGTCCGGGCGCGGCGGACGTGTTCCTTTCGAGCGGCCGCGCCGCGAGTGGCCTCGATGATTTCATCGCCGTCGCTTCATTCCGAGTGCTCCCGCGGGACCGCCGCGCCGCGCGCTCACGTGACGCCTCCGTGTGTCCGTCGTTTTTTCTTCTCTTCCTTCAGGGTTCCTGTTCTTTTCTCGCCGAGGCTGTAATAGCGCGCATAAGTCGGCCTTCCGGCCGACCACCGATGTGGGAGGTTAATCGGTCCCAAGAGCGAGCTCTCGGCCGAGTTGTCATCGTCCCGGGGACGTCCCCGGGACGCGATCACGCCGCGGCCACGGCCAAATGCTGCGAGGCGACGAGCGAAAAGGGAAACCGGTCCTTGGCGAGGGGGCAAGGGGGGGGGGAAGAGAGAGTTGCCGGTTGTCGGCTACGTTATGGAAAAAGCCGATGGCGCGACGACCCGCCTCGTTATGGCGGCTGTGCCTCCGGGATAAATCGCGCGCGAAAACTTTGATCGATGCCTCCCGCCTTTGACCTCTGACCTCGTCGTACTCCTCCTTCGCCGGCGCGCCAGCGAGGTCTTGGCATCAGCGAGCCGTGCTATCGGGACATCGATATCGCGCGCGCCGAGTCGCTTTTCTTCCCTGAATCGGCGTCTTTGACACGAGCGCGCGCGTCGGCCGATCGATCGACCTGTCGTCAAGAGTTACGCCAAGAGTACCGCCCGGCGCCGGGAGAGGAGAAAAAAGGAGGCGGAGGTGGTTCGTTAGCATCTCCCGCTCGCGAGAAGCGGGCGATGAGAAATCGTGTTTCTCGATAACTCCCCCCTCCCCCCCTGCCGTCTCGTCCTCCACATCCCGAGACAATTTGGTTTATGGGTGGGACGTGTGTCAGTGTGTCCCCGGCCCGGCGGAATCGATTATCGACGAATCCGCGGCCGTTCGTTGGATCTCACGGAAATTGCGATTCCACTGGTCCCCGCCCCCGCCGCGCCGCCGCCTCCTCGCGCGACCGCCGCGTCCGATAAACGGCCGGATGGCGCGGTATTGTGTGTATCCTCTTTTCGCTTTTATATTTTTAATTAGTCCTCGCCGACGAGACCGGTCTCGCGTCGTCCGCTTCTTCGCGGGAGTTTCCGGTGAGGCGGCGCGGCCGGGGGTGGTTTCAGTTTGATTACGGCATATAGCGCGCCTCGTGCGCGCGCGCGCGCGCGCGCGCGTTGGAAGGACCTTCGCTGCGTGATGGATGAAGTTACAGCGAAATGCAAATGTTATTAGCGGTATCTATCGGCAGCGTGTAATTCGACATTCAATTATGGCTTGCTGCGCCGCGCGTACCCGGGCATAATGCATCGCGCTCATCGCGATCTACGGCGCCACCCCTGACCGTTTCCCCAGCCCCTCGCCCCTCTTCATCCGCGCTCGCCCCCGTGTGTACAAATAATCTTCTGGACGTGGGATGGACGCGCATAAAGGAGGTCTCCGCTCGGCTGCATTGTTAAAAGCAAAAAGTACCGGTACCAATCACGGCCCCGCGCCCGCGCGGTGTACTGGAGGGTGGCAGGGGGAGGGGAGGGGTCCATTATAATTAGGTTGGAGCGTGCATACTGTTAATGGACACAATATATACCGAAGCCGCGTAACACAACGCGACTCACCGCTAACCGAATTATTTCCTCGCTCTCTCTCTCTCTCCACCGTCTCGCTCCTCCGCGCGCTCGTCGCTTCCTTTTCTCGCGCGAGCGCGCCCGCGCGCGCCATCCCATTGTTTACTTTCCGCCGTCCATCCTCTAAACGGCCCCCGGGCTAAACAAACTTACGGGGTTTTAACGCTTAACAAGCTTAGTGATTTTGTAATTGGGTTACCGCAGTCCGCCGCGGATGGAAATCGTAAAAACCACCCTCCCGCGCTCGCCCGCCCTCTCGGCGTCGCGTCGCCGACGTCGTCGCGCGGCGGTCTCGTGAGACGCGACGCTGACGACGGCGGTGGCGGCGGCGATATTCTTTCTCGTTCGCTTCGACGATGAGCAGCAGGCAGGCAGTCTCCGATGCGTTTTACTGCATATCGAATAAACCGTACGTAAACACGTGCTCGCGCAGCGGCGAACGACGTCCGCGTATTACGCGCAACATTAAACCGCGCACTCGAATAACCCTCGTATGAGCCTTACACGTGTTGGTATCCCATACGCCAACCTCCCCTCTCTCTTGCTCGCCCTCTTCGCTCTCCCGTTCCTCACCGGCGCGGCACAGCGGGGCCAGATGACATTTTTCGCTTCAAAATTCTCTAGAGGTTTGAATTTCCAACCGATCATCGACACCAATGAATGAGGTTGATCCTGAATAAATAAATTCCGAAGAGAGCTGTCTTGCCAAAATTTGAAAAAAAGTGCTTTTCTCGAATTACTAGCCCCAAAAGAGGAAAAATTATCATTAAACGCGAGAAACTTGTGGAATGCTCGCTTATTCGACACTTATTTCTATCTAATAGCGTATTCAGCGGATTGAAACTATGAAACCAATCAACAGACACCTCGAGATTTATCGATCTTGAAGCAGAAGCTCATCAACCCAAAACTCGTATGCCCGAAATTTTTGAGTCTTAAGCCCATCAACCTAGGAATCTCGATCAATCCGAGAACTTTTTAGCTCGTGGATGCATGAAGCCGTATATATTAAGAGCCCCAAATAATCCAAGAACCCAATCTAGCCATAGCTCGAGAACCTAATAATACTCGACGTTGAATGTTCAGCTACGAAACATTAAGTTCGAGCCTCGAAACTTTTAAGACAAACCCTAAACCCATGAACCCCGAACCGATAATTTTTTTCAAAATTTCGGCTGGACAGATCTCTTTGGAATTTATTCAGGATCAACCCCTCATCCATTGGTGTCGATGATCGGTTGGAAATTCAGGTCTCTAGAGAATTTTCAACCAAAATATGTCATCTGGCCGCACTGTGCGGCGCTCGCAGTGTTTTACAGCGCGCAATACGTCGCGCGCGGATAAATGCTTCATATTACGGCGCGTTACGCGAGAAGCTAAACGTCGTATTTATGCAAATGTAAACCGCGGAGAAAGCGACGGATGTTGAAAAATGGCGTCGCGCCGACGACAATCGCATGGGCGCGAATTAGGCTGATGAGTGTGTTGTGCGCTCCCAGCGTGAATCGGCCGAGACGGCGCGACGATTGTTCGACGGGGCTCGCGTCGACGAAGAACGAGCCTCCGGACGCGCAAGTCGAAATTCCGCAGCTGCTTGCCGCTGGTTCCGTACTCTCCAGCCTGCATCAACTTGCTGCGAGTGATAGTATCGATATTTAACCTGCAAGCTCTTTCTCTCCTCCGGAGCTACAAGCGGCGAATCGTACGTCTCGCATTATCTAGCATCGCCGAGTGGGACTGCGCGTCTTCGAAAAATTACATCCTCCACGTCGGAGGAGCTGAGAAGCAAGCCCGGAACTTGGACTCGCGGGAACTCGATCCGCGCGAGGAAACGCGAGAAAGAGGGGGAGAGCCACGGCGCGCGAAACGGTCGCGTGCATGTGAATATACTAGCTCGAGCATTTTCTCTGCTTTTCCGGCGCTGCGGTGAGTGAGATTCTCTCTTCGAGTTTCACGTATCCATAATACATTATCGGGTTACCATGGGGGAGCATTGTGGCCACCATAGAGACTCCCGCGATCGTGTATCGAGTACTCGTATGCGCGCCGCGCGCGTGTATGAAGGCTTGTAAATTTCTTCCCAACCTTCAACGCGGATTAGGTTAACCCCTATAATATCATCATAATTCCCGCGCTACCGCAACCGGACGCGCGCGTGTGTGCGTGCGCAGTCTATACCTGCATAAATATGATATATGTGTATAATATGATGCGCGTGTGCACACACCGTCCGCACGCGGACGCGATTGCACATGCGCCCCGGAATTATATCGTCCGCTTTTGCAAGAAGCGGTAGTTTCGCGCGATTTTCAGCGGCCGCGATCGGCGGGCTCGATCGCGAGGAGAGACGCAATCGCGCGCCGGCCGACTCGCGCTAAAACCCCGTCGCGAGGTTATTAAAGCGCCGATATACCGAGACACGTGATGAGACTTATTATTTTGCTCTCGAGATACAATTTTTTCTTTAGACTTTTAACGCAAAATGCGCGTACGTGTTGAGGTTCGAAAGTTGCCGACCCGAAGATGTAAAGACGATAAAATGAAACAGTTCTTTGTTCATCTTCTTCTGATGTATAATCACCCTTTGTCTCATAATACATGTTTTAGGACAACATGCGCATCGCACGTTGAAAGTAGAGATGTACGAACTATTCGAATTCGCATCCGAATAATTCGAAAATTTCGA